AGGGAAAGGAAGGACGGTAATTATGAGGCATTTTGGTTATCTTAATACTGTACTGTGGCATATTTAAGCGTGGTACAGCAATTACAAGACGAACCATAAATGAGACAGGAAAGTAATAACTAGCATCAAAACAAGCCACAAAGAGCTCAAGGAAAATAATGTTCCACCAAAGCCTCATCTTTCTTGTTCTACCACCAATGTGGCTAATGACACACACACAAAAATAAAAAAGGGAAAAAAATGGGGCTTGAAAGGCACTGCTGTGTCTGTTGCCTGTGAAATAAGCAGTTCCATAGTGTTGGGGGTGGATGGTGCATAGTTGTTGGGAGAGTGGGGTGTTTTATTATAAATGAACATCCAAGCTTTTTATTTTTTTACATAAACACTACTTCCTTTACCCTGATGCATGCTGGGTAACCATTCAGCTTGTACTAGAAATACACTGTCTTCTGCCAGGAAATGCAAGCAAAACAGCTGCTTTCTGTCTTGCCAAATAAATCCATTTATTCAGGAGGAAGGTCAATAAAGACCAGACCTTCATAGGAAGGTATGTAAGGCAAATGCATTGGTGGTCTAAGCCAGAGAGACAGGTGACTAGTGAGCACAACTACAGGAGAAACAGAAGAGCACAAGTACCCAGCTTTGGTCATAGAGCAGAGCCAACAAGTACTCAGTGACAGGTAAGGAGCATCCCTGCAAGGGGTCTAAGGAGGCCTCAGTGTCTTCTGCAGCAGCTGTTGGGGAGGCACAGAAAGGCTGCTGGTTCTTGGTGATTTCAAGGCACCAGAGCTGCTGTGCCTCAACTTCCTGGTCAGGCTCCAGGCTGCTCCCTTCACAGGGCAATAAATACAAGCTAATTATACTGGCAGAGCTCATAGTCTTTGAGATAGGTGTCTGTGACTAGTTATAAATGGCACTATATACTATCAGTTCAGTGTCCTGAGAAAGATTCCAGGGAAATAAAAACTAGTTCTAGCTTTTATAGAGGTTGAGTATTAACAGAGATCAACAACTGTGAATTCTCAAGAGCTGACTTAAAAAAAAAAAAAACCAAAAAACAACCAAACCAAACAAACACAACAAACAGCAAGGACAATGCAGACACCAGTATTTTATTTTCCAGAACAGCAAGACTAGACATATGAATGACTATCCTTGACTTAAGTTTACTTTCTCATGTAGTTTACATGAACTCCAACACTTTTCTACTTGTAGAACTGGAAATATTTTAAGAGAAAAAAGGTACAGTTCATGTAGGGTTTGTGGTTGTTGGGGGTTTTTTGTTTGTTTGGGTTTTTTGGGGTTAAGAAGTGAATGGAAGAACACAACTTCTTCTGTTATAGGGACAGAAAATTTTAAACATTATTTAAAAAAAAAAAAATCACAATTCTGCAGTCTATGCCTTTGTCCTGCCGTACAAGAAACTAAGTCTATACAGAGGAGGTTTTTGCACATTAAAAACTACAATGATAATTTTCATTTCCAAACCAGGAAAGTTCGACACATACAAAAAATTTTTTATGCTAATGAGCATATAATTATTCAAATTCATTCCAAAACTAATTCAGTACAGCATATACAAAATTAGCTAAGGAATTACCTATAAATTAGATATTTTCTTCATTCATCTAATAGCAAACTGGAAGTGAAAATAAAAGTTAACATCTAAATCAATTTCTAAACAAGCATCTTAACCTGCAAGGTAGGGAAGACAAAATTATATTGGTTAATTGACTTTTTTTTCCTAGTTTAATGGTAAAAAACAGATTAACTGCAAGATGTAAGCATCCTGGATGACAAAATCTTCTGAGCAGATATGCCATTTCTGCAGAGCACTTCCCACATAAAATAAACTGGACCCATTAATTAAGTATAATTGGTGCAAACTGCTAGTGTAGACATTTACATTATCTTAAGTCAAAAGAATTCAAGCAAGATTAAACAGTGAAAGCTGTCTTAGTAAACACATTGGGGGTTTTTTTGAGTCAATGAAATCAAGCAATGTCAAACCACTGCTCTCATTACAGATAAGCACAGGTTTAGCTAAAACCAACAACAGATAGTTTCTCAATATAAATAAAGCCATTAAATGCTTCTACAATTCTATTAAATATACACCTACTAATTACTACAAAAAGGATGCCAATGGTGACACTGAAAGATTCACTAAAAACATGTAAAACCAGAAAAATTCTTTGAGCTTTGTAAAAATAATTCTGAAAAGTACGTTTATAACTATTGTTTTTCTCTAACAGTCTGAAAAAATAATTATTTTGAAAACCAATTAGTTCAGTACTCAAGTGTCCAAGGCACATTATAAAAATAATTAAGAAAATTATTATTACCTGATATGTAATAAAGGTCCTTTAAAAGTGGTTAATGCTTTCTTTGCATTTTTTGGTTTGAATTCTGTTTTGTCAGTTTCCTCTGATTTGGAAATTTGTTCTATAGAATTCATCTGAGTAAAAATGACAGTTATAACAATTAACTAGCAACCTAGGTTACAGATGTTACAGAATCATGCAGGTATTTCAAAGAATGAGAAGGCTTATTTCAACAATTTATATATTACAGACCAAGCTTAGTATGTATTCATTCCCTGAAGCTGCTTGAAGTCCACTGAGTAAAATTATTTGTTATAGAAGTTACACATTAAACATGCATGAAAAAACTGCTTTGCTTTTTTTCCATGTATTTTCTTGATGCCCAAGTTGGTTATTTTTGAAGACTCCAGACACATTACGTTATGGTTATTCAAATATTTAAGATTACAGATGCTGGTGTTATTCTTCCACTGCAAAACTCTTCAATTAAAACAGACACCCCCATACAATCACCACAAAACTGCACAGAAAACACAGTAACTATTCCATACTTTATTGTATTGCAGAGTTGCTAAACTTATCTTCAACTGCTTTTATATGGAAGTCTGAAGTTTTGGAGAACTTTAAAGTAGTACTGCTGATTGCATTGGTGTATCCAAAACTGCAGATACCTTAGCTTCTTGAGGGTTTTCCTCTATTACATTAATAAAATACCTGTCAGCAGGCCTGGACCTCTTATTATTAAAAAAAAAAAATAATTAAAAAAATGAAAGAACCCTAGAATTAAATGCAAAACAGGGTGGGGGCATTTTATACAGAAAACAAAGAATTAGTGACATCATGACTCAAGACCAGCTAGCTCAACAGTTTGCTTAGCCTTGGTTTTTATTCCACTTAAAATACAGAAAGAAGACATGAAGATAATTCAGTTTATGTAAATGTGAAGTATGGGAATGAAAGCAATACAAAATTTTATACAAAGTATGTTTTCTAAAAAGAAACCACACAAATCTGATTTCCTTTTTTTTTAATTACAGTTTTTAGTAAAAGGTTAGTTACGTGTTGGGCTTTATTCTACATAAACCTAATTAAAATTACCAGAGAAAATATTACTACAGTACATATTAAAGATGGAGTTGTTCTTGACAAATGTAGGCTTCTACAGGACAGGCACTTACTAACCAAGTTTATCACTCATGGCTCCCTCTAGTCTGTGGAAAGAAATAGGCCCTTTTATGGGCTAAGAGGAGGCATACATATAAAAATCAGATTAATTCTTAGCGATGACAAGAGTCTCCATATAAAGAATGGCAGTGCAGTAAATAATAATGAAGACAATGACATCTTACAGATCACTCAAAATCTGTTAGTTTGGAAGCTAGCCTTAACAAAAAATATTTGAAATATTTTTATATTTAGACACAGTCAAGTAAAGAATAATTAGCTTAGAAATAAGAAATGCCAACCATTCTGAGACAATAGGGGAATATTTCTGAAAAACACATTTTGAAAAAGGATGTAACATTGAAATGGCAAACAATGGTGTACTTGCTGTAGAAGAAATAGCAAGTATTATTCTTAAATATGTGAACAGAAGACTAGTGAGTTGAAGCAAAACAATGAGCTACATTTTATAAACATATTACCAATTAGAGATGGCCTGAAATTTTAGAAGTATGTTAAATGTGAAGCCTTAAACACGCCTTAAAATTAAGTGATACATGATGAGCAAAAATGTCAATCTTAGCTCACTGAAAAGGTAAGAGTAGCAGTCTCATTACACTGTATAAAGAGAAAATAACAAACCAAAACATTTTTAAGAGTAAAAAAAAAAAATTCCTAAGTAGAAAGCTGAAGTCAGCCAAACAAATTAGAAACAAACACTGAGGCTTTTAAGCACCAAAGCCAACTCACACACTGAACAGAAATTCTCCATGTTTCTATATCTTAGAATCAGAGCTTGGAAGATGTGCTACAACCAAAACAAGCTACTGAGTCTAATGGTCAAAGTCACCATGGTTATGTAATGTTTCCTTTTGACCTTGAAGTCAGTGAAATTATTGCTTTTGAATAGCTGCCCAAGTTGCAAAGGACAGCTGGACTATGTAAAATGAGCTGTGTATTTCAAATTATTCTGACAAAAAAACCCCAAACCACCAGTAAATGAAACTGAAAGTGTAATATTAATGTATTCTTCTACATTAAACAGAAGTTTTGCAGTTTCTATCCTAAAATCAAGTATGGCACTGCAGTGGTAAATTTCAGATTTTTCCTGCTGTTTTTAAGAGCTATCTCCCCATTGACTATCATTGCATGTTCCTAAATATCATTTTATATGGACTTATGTAAAACAATGCCTTTATATTTCTGGATAAACACCACTGCAAAAGATCATACCAAAACAAGATTGATAGATTAGGGACACAATGTCTCCTGAGACTAAATGAAAACTCTTATATGTTGAGATTTTTATCAATAATTTAAGAAAACAAATTAATACCCAGTAAAGTATAAATATTTAACTGTTAATATTTCCTCATGTACATACTGACTTAAGCATCTGAAAAAGCTAAGGTTATTTTAACATATGCACCACTAGACACCCCAAGATTAAAAATAAACCAAGTAGAAAGACTTTGAAAAAAGCCTTTGAAAACAACACACAAAAACCTTTTAAGTTTTACTGTACAATTCACTATGTTCCAGAGAGAAACCTTCTGGCACACATTTTACATTCCGAAGCATGAAACTGGTCTTAACAGACTAAGAAGGAAGGTTGAAACTACAAGTATAATTTTTAGTTTTACTGGGTTTCTTTGTCAAAGTGGAGGGAAGTAAAAACAAAAACAACACAAAGTAAAAGCCTGACAAGAAAAAAAGTTATACGCCTCATGTCCCACTTTGTAACCGTTTGATTACTCTTGCCTCAACCTTCAGAGTTAGATACCTTTTTCTGATTAAGGTTTTGCTCTTCATTCAGCTCCCCAGTCTCCTTTGTGTCCGCATCTATCTCTTCTTTACTTTCATGCTCATCTTCACTAGTAATGGGCCCATTTTCACATAAAGGGGTTTGAAAATCATCATCAACCAATGGAGGATAACTGTACTTGAAAGAATCCTAAAACATAAGGAGATTTTTAAAGGACCAGTTATTTAGGAGGATAAGAAGTGCCTTCTCTAGTACTTTTTAAATGGAAATACTACAAATTAATTTTTTCATTTCACATGACTTCTATGTTTCATTTATCCACTTTAAGCTGGATGCCTATGCAGAAAGCTGACACTACCAATAGTTATTATTTTATCATAATTAACAGACAAATACAGGCACCCAATGAAGCACCAAACTGTAACTACTATTATTTACAGCCACAGCAGAACTATAGAATCTGGTCTATCAAGGATCAGCATTCAGAGTCTTAATGCTGAAGTTTTGTTCTTACTTCTAGGAAGTGTGGTTTAAAGCCTATGACAGCTATTTCTGAAGAATGTTCCAGAACTCATGAAAAACTTCAGTTGTTCTTTGTATTTTATTTTCCTAATAGCCACAGTTTAAAAACCAAAACCACAAAAAAACCTAAACAATCCCTTAAGTTTAACATAGTGTTTGGACCTTTAATATACCCTGAAACTCAGACCTCAGTCTTTGGAATGCCAAAATCAATTTTAAAACTACATTCAAGACACCTCAGTAATGCAGAAGCAGCATATTTAAGTTCTTGATGCTTCTACGGTGAAGGTATCTTTTCTATTGGAGGATCAGTAAAAAAATGTTTTTGCTAACTAGAAGTTCTCTTAACATTCTTAAAATAGTTTTATTACATCAGATGTTAGAATGTGTTTATACAGGAGTCTCTGTTCCTACTGCATTTTTAAACAGTTTTAAACCCCAAGTAAACTGAATTAGATTGTCTGTTTTTCCAGTGGAGGAGGAAAATAATATTACTTTGACTCCCGAGGCAGACTTTAGCCGTGCCCACAGTTCTCAAAGTATGCTACCAGCAGGGAATTAATAAAAAAAGCATTTCAGGAGAGCTTTCCATAAGTAAAAAAAGAATAGTTGACATTAGGAGGAAAAAAAACGAACCAACCAAACAAAACCCACACCTTAGATGAGGCCATTCAAAGAAACCTCAAACAAAACAGCATACTTCCTGCTAATCTATAACCAAGGCCTAAATCTCTCCCATTCTTCAGACTGAAGTAACAGTCACAGACCTTTAGGTGAATGAAATAGGTATCCACTGCCTCAAGCAATATCTTATTAAGGGCCTAAAGGACGAGCTCCAAGCGTCAGTAACAGAATAATTTACTATTAGAAGAAAAGATTCCCAACTTAGAAACATTACAGTAGGCTTACAGAATATTGACATTCTCCATTTGCAAATACAAGGTAGAAATAGCCAGCTTATCCTTAGCCAAACTGATAAAAAGCCTTTTCACTCCCTTCCAGCATGTGATGAAGGGCACATGACAAAGTGGCCTTAATAAAGAGGTGGTAATTTTGCCGCACATTTCACTTGGCCACATTAACCCATGATGCTGGACAGCTTCAGCAGCTGAGCAGAATCCCATCACTGGGACAACTCAAAGCTCTATTCCTCCCTGTCACAGTCCATCAGCTTCAGTGACATGGACCTTTCTACTAACAGGGTGAAAACCTCAGAAAGGTAAACAAGGCAGATTTATTCAATGCTTGATACATCCATTCTATGAATTAATGGCTTCCTTCTACAGCACATGTATCATAGAATGGTTTGTATTGGAAGGGACCTTAAAGATCATCTAGTTCCAACCCCCCTGCCATCAGCAGGGACACCTTCCACTAGACCAGGTTGCTCAAAGCCTCATCCAGCCTGGCCTTAAACACTTCCAGGGAGGGGGCATCCACAACTTCCTTGGGCAACCTAAGGGACTTCACACTACACTTGACAATTGTGGTAGAGATATCTCAATCATGGTAGTGATATTTTCTAAGATTACATGTACACAGTGGCCCTAAAATCACATGCAAAATGCCTAGTGATATCTTAGCTTCAGATCTATGAAAGGTCCTTCCAAGAAAACAAGCTATGGGCTATCAATTCAGATACCCAGGTGAAGAGCCCAGCATTCTAGTTGCACATGTCATTCAATATTGGCACCAGTGGAGGAAATCTTGGATTTAACAAGGATGAATTGCCCATCTCTGACAAAGGAAAACTGGGCAAACAGACATACATTAGGAATTTAGTTTGTGTATGTCTTGCATCAATATGCACACTGTATGTACATCAGCCTTGCACGAAATGTTGTTGAACAGGTAAGCTAGAAACATGTATGCCTTAACAACTGGATTGTTCCACTGCTAATATCACCAACTGGAACTAGCAGAGTGTGGCATACAACAAATTGGGAACCCTGGAAAACATTGACTTAAAACACGTTTATTACTAAACAAAAAATATTAGCAAGTGGCTTTTGAGCACCCAACTTCACATCCATGAAGTGCCCACTCTCAATCCCACATGTAATTTATATACATGTGTCTCAGTCTATCACAAAAGGACCATGAAATGTTTATATACTTACAGTTCCACCCATGTGAGGTGGCAGATACTCTCCACTGATGTATTCCTGCACATCATTCTTGTTCGTGAACTTTAACATGCTTATTGCCTCTGGGCCAAGCCAACCCTTCACAATTTTAAAAGCAGCTTTAAAAAAAAACAAAAACAAAAACAAAAGGTATATGTAGATGCTCAGGAAGGGTTTTTTTTCTGGAGTGTATTGGTAGACCCCATGGAACACAACAGAGCTACATCCCATAAGATACGGCAGGATCTGCTCTGAATATTTTATGGGTATACACTTTTCTATAGATGAATGCAGATAGACCACAGACTTTCATGGAAAGAGTAACTTTAATTTAACTAATGACATCTTTGTTGTGTTGGAATTTAGACCAGGAAGTACTGAGGGGGTAAAAGCAACTGTATTTCCAACTCTGAGTGAGGGAAGTTGGCAAAAATATATATATATATATATATACTCTTCCTAGCTGAAATGTTTGGCTGCTTTAGAGGACACTTCTTTAAATCTATAGAATATTTTCAAACACCGTAGTTATTTCAGGGATGGCAAAATATGAATATATAGAAAAATATAAAGCCAGCATAAAAATACGTACTCATATGGTAAAAATACAGGAACATGTTTATTCTGTACATTATAATTAAAGATAATTGTTGAAGTACATATATAGAAGCATGTAACAATCAGTGTCCACTGTCAGGCATCTATCTTAAATTGTGTATTCTAGTTTTTAGCTGGTTAAGAGTGTGCATTTGTTGATGATGGTGTTCCTTAATCATGAACACATCTAGCTTTGAATTACAGTTGGAAACATTCAAGGAATACACTATTTATTAAGGTCTCCCAATATTTAAAGATAACAGGATGAATACAGACTCCATTTAAAATATTATCCAATATTATCCGATGCTAGAAGGAAAAACAAGTATGCAATCTGTAAACGAACATATTTAAGGATGTATATTCAAATTCCACCATTCAGCTGTATCTACACAGAGCAGGAAAATGCTTCCTATTTATGCTACTATTTTTTAAAAGTTATGACAATCTAAAAAAAAACAAAAAAACCCCAACAAACCACCATTCCAAAAAACCCCAAACCAAACAACTCACCATTCATTATCCATGGCATTTCAAAGATCACTATCTTTGCTGAAAAGATAAAAAAAGGGAAATAATCTGAATACTACATGTTATATAATTCTGTTTAAGAGGAAGCACAGCAATGATTGTCACGTAAAAAGTGAAGACTTATTTTTAGAAAACTCCTTGTTCACTTCCTGAACAGAACTGTAGATGCAATTATGTAGAATTGTTTTTAACACGTATAAACCTAGTTCTATTACTATATAAAGACATTAGCTGTTTGCTTGAAAATCAGTTAATAAAATTTTAAGTTATAAATTATTTATATACTTTTCTGGGATATCACTTTTCTGACATACTTTTACTAGTAAGTAATCAGCCCAAATAAGGTGGAGAAAATTAAGATCTCAACCTGACCTAGAAAAGCAACTACTGGATGTAAAAAGAAGTTCACCAGGTATATATTCAGCACCTCTTCTTCCCAAAGAAGCAAAATGTAAGAGTCTAAATCTGCATATTTTTTTTTCCAAGCTTTCTTTGTTTTAGCAGAAAAGTCTGAAAAGTTAGTACTTTGACTTAGAGGTGTCCCAAAATTCTTCTTGAATGTCAGAAAACCAAAACATAATGTTGCCTTTAAGTTCCATATTTGATCAAATTTTTGATCTGCAATCAGCAAGCTGAAATTTAATATTCAGAGTTTAAACAGCTGTTGTACAAAATTTCAATGTTCACAGACACATTTTCACCCAAAATTTATGATTCCTAAGATGAGCTGGCAAAAACTATTCAGTGTTCCCCTACTTATAAAAAATTAGCAGGCAAGTATGCAGGTTTTTCCAGACGTGCACACAAACATACCTTAATCCTGTTCAGAGGAAGTAAACTATTGCTCCCTAAAATTTTCTATAGCTATTCATTCTTTGTGCCCTGAAGACTCCTGAAAGGATACAAACCATCATGCAATTTTGCAAAGCTTCTAACCACATAACAAGGAAAAGAACGGGCCAATTCAGTTCTACTAGGTGCTCTTATCAATTTTTAATCTGAGAAATTGTGCCTTAAGATTCTTATTTCATGAAAAGCTAGTTGATTTTTGATTAATGTAAAGTTTACTTACAACACAAAACTGTGCTCTTACGAGCACAATAGTATTCTGAATTTGTAATATCCATGTGTTCCATGTAGTTATGCCGTATCTAAAATCCAAACATACCTTATTGTCCAAACACTAAATTCCAAGGACAAGTCCTTCATTTATTTCTACAATCCACATAAAGCACATGCAAAAAGACTTAAAGTCCCCCCTATCATATGCAACATTATGAAATGCTCTTATTACACAAGTCTTCAGATGTAATATACAATACTTACTGAGGAAGTTTGGGTAATAATCTGTAAAACAGTTGACAATAAACCGAACAAAATCCAAGTCCTAAAATAAAAGCACAGAGTAAATGCAATGGAAATCAAAACATTAAAGATATAGGCTTAGTTAAGCTAAAGCATTTATTGAATAGCACAAGATATTTGTCATATTGTAATCATCTATATTCAGATTTTATATATACTACAAACACCACCCAAGTTCTATGTAACACTTTTCACTTCATTAAATTGCTGCATGATTGTGGTCAAACTTTGCTTTTTGATCTAAGAAAGAAGTCAACAGACCTATTATCAGTGCAGTAAGTTAGGTATCTAAACTACTGCAGAGTACCAACAGGTTTTAGGCTATAAATGAAAGATACATGAAAAAAAAAAATCTAGAGAAACTTGACAGATTATCTTAAAGGGAGAACACTAAACATACTGAAATTTTCCTTGAATAACTTATCTGGCATATTATTCAATATACTACTGCACTCAGGATCCTCCAGAGGGAGGGGGAAAAAAGTGTTTTCCTTTTAAGAGTATTTTTGGTTTTAGTATTAGTTTCTGGTATGCAGAGAAATTGTGGGCAGAGGCATCACTCAAAAGAGTTGCTTGTATACCACTCATTTTCAAGGTGCTTTCATCCAATGAGCAGCCGCACAGAAACAGTACAACCAAGTCTCCATTGCAAAATCCAGGTATGATAGAATTGACTACACAGTAAAGAGCAAAAAGTTATGAAACAGATATAGATAATAATGTAAGAGATAACCAAAGTACCTTATCATGGCAAGGTAAGTGGGAAGCCTGCCTGCCACAAATACTCATACCTTCCCCCGTCCTTCTAACAGAAGCGATCAGTACTACTACTTTCAGAAACAGTACAAAATACATTACTGATGGAGAATCCAAACCCTGTCACATAACAGTAAAAATGCTATGGGGAACAGGCTGCTAGTGTGATGTAAACACACTATTGCAACACTTGCAGACAGAGAGAAAAAACAACACCCTGTATAAGAGGATTATCCACAACCTGAAAGCTTTTTATTAGTAACTTCAGTAATCAGACACTAATTGAAAGCTCGATATCTTTAGAGATAGAAGGTAGCCTTTAATAGAAGCATTTATCTCAACTGGCTGTTGCTTGTACCAAATGTGTTATCTGCCATTTAACAGCATAAACACAATGATAGATTTCCAAGGAGCGATTAGAATCTCCTGTGCATTAACAAGAACACTGCTCTTATCCTGCTGCCTATCCAAGAGCTGCACTATCAGACTTTAGGAGGATTGATCCATTATTTTGGTTAAAGCCTGGAATTAGATGTACCGACTTCAGGAGACCATTCACTAACAACATCTATTCTAGTTACCTGAACCAATGCAACAAGGCATGAGCTATCAGAACTACCTGGCTGCACACCAGTGATAAAAGCTGACAAAGATGTCCATAGCAATGGAACAAACAAATGAAGCATGGTCTGGAAAAGAACTCCGAAATCCAAGTTCTTTTAGGATAAAATTTCTCAATTACTCTACATGGTTACAAATAGCCATTTCTTAAAAAAAATATTCCTTTTCTGTGATAAATGTACTAACCACAAAGTAAGACTGTAACTTATGGAGAGCATTTGCCAAGATTGTGTCTCTGGCAGTCTCAAAGACACTGGAAACAAGCTGCTTCAGGATATGCTCCACAAAACCCAAATCAAGTTACTTTTTCACATCAAGGAAATTATTACAATCCTTTTTTCTTGTTACATAAAACCATGGCTCCAGTATTATCTTTAGGAGTATGGACAAACAGCTCATAAGGCACAGGTAAGAGCACCAATCCTGCTTTGTAAAACTGAATTACATCATATTTATTTGTTTAAATTATCTTCTCAAAAGCTTATGGCACCGTACTGCACAGCTGCAAAGTCCTAATGCAACATTAACCATCTTGCCTGGAAAAGGTAGAAAGAAAACTTTTTTTTTTTCTTATATTTAAATACATTCTTTACGTACCAACAAAAAAAAAAAAGAAAGAACAAGGTACAAGTTTTAGCCACTCCTACAAGAATAACAGGACAGCATGGCATTTTGTAAGAAAAATTTCAATATTCTATAGAAATAAGATTTTTTTAACCTATAGACAATCTATGAGATTTTTCATTATTAGATCAAATCTATAAATATGTAGTGATAGGCAAAATCTCCATCTTGCAATCTAAACCAGCTTAGATTCTGCTCCTGAAAGTGGGTGCTAAAAATATACTTTTCTCTACTGAACTCAGCTGGAGTGAATGACAAAGAACTCTAAATTTTCATCTATCTACATTAAAATTACTCAAAAGTCACCTCCCCTCAACCCTTAAAAAAAAAAAATCCCGATTTTAGGTTTTCTGAGTTGATGATCAGTAAAAATGCAGGGGGTGATATTGTTCTAATATTCTAAACAAGCTTCTACAAAGCAAATCTTAAAGATGCCTGTAGTAAACTATGGGTACGCATTTATGCTTTCCTTATAAAGATACTAACGGGTATAAAAGCAGACCTAAAGGAAGAGAATACTACAATATACATATATTTAAAAAACGCATTTTCATTTCCAGACTTTAGAAGAGAACCACAACCAATAGGCAAGCTGCATCTCCATTCTACGCCACTAACCAGATCAAGTTCTACTGGTAGTAGCAGTGTATCATTCAGACTGTATTAACAGCAACTGCAGAAAAAGCTCTACACAAGCTGATGCTCAGACTCATACCTAAAATGGATCACAAAAATCCAAAAACAGACCATGTGAATTTAAAGATTCACTGTAAGGATGACAACATAAAACAAAGATCACACTTGATGAACTCAGCACTAAGTAAATCTAATGATCAATATATTAACTGCAACTTCTGCTCTCTAAAGAGAGCAGGTTTTGAATCAGGAGACTTTAATAAAACATACCTAAATCCAACTACAGAACAATCTCGGGAGCAAAATGTGTATTGAAAAACTTCCAGAAAATATACAAAGTGTCCAGATGACAGTGTGCAACCAGTCAGTGCACTGATGAGTGTTGAGAAGCGAGAAGGAAGTATTTGGATCAAAAATTCCATCTTGAAGCAAGGGAATTGAAAAAGAACCACAAAAAAGAAAACCCACAGTATGCAGTTGACAATTCTGCCTTTAACTGCAACATAGTTACAAATATCGCCACAAGGAGCACTTTGTCATTTTGATCCTCACAGAGGTGCCAACACACACAACGTGAATACCAATGGACACCAGCAAGAGATCCCGATCTCAAGTTTACTTAAGTAAATACTTAAAAGTGAACCAAATGTATTTTTCTATGTATGTTTTGTAGGTTGAAATCCATCACAGAAAAACTATTCACAAGGAACATGTACTAAGGTGGAATGCTACTCTTAAAATAATTATAATTTCTTATCTAGTTGCAACCTCTTGAATAATCACCACTTTTACAGAAGTGACTGAGCTACGCTGCTCCTTCATTTTTTCAGTCCTAAAGAAATCTAAAAATGCATAAAAACTTTTGCTAAGAGAAATGTCTCCTCTTCTGAATGAAAATTTGGAATCTCTCATTTATGTAACATCAAGCTTGGAGGAAGTTGTCTTCAGTAAAGCAGACAGGTTGGACAAGGAACTGAAAAAGAAGGTGAGGATATTATTCCTGAACAGGTATAAACTTCAGTTTGATAGAGAGTCCTACGATTCAGGAGTCTATCACCTCTGTTCAAATTCAGACACCCTTATTTTTTCTGTATCTGTACACAGCAACAAGTATGCACATTTCTTCACCATATTATAGTCTCATCATTGTAATAACACGTTTTGTTAATAAGAGAAAAGACAGACTTGCATTATATTTGTTTAAGATGAATACTGAAAACAATGCCTACACTTGACAAATTGCACTTTTGCATCCAGCTAACTTCTCTTCACAACAAAATTCAATGGGTGGAGAGATGCATACGGGGAATTAAGAAATTAACACAATTTAAATATACAGGGAGACCATATTAGCATGGAAGACAGAGAGGCAGGACCAGGATCAGAACTGTCAACTGAAGAAGGTGACTTCTCAGAAGAGATCAAAGACCTCAGCTGCTGCATCTAAGGGTTTTAATGCTTCACCTTTACCCCATTTTTCTATCATTCACCCAACTGACCAATTCACCCAAAAAACGATGACAATGAAAATGGAGCCATTGAAGAAATGGCAGCAACTATACTCATGATAAAAGATGGCTCAGCTTCTTGCCTTTTGGGTGCCTACAAAATAAGTTCTACTATTGTCATCCATGATGACTGACAAACCAAGCTGGTGAGCAACTACTATATGTAGTCACTTTGGCTCAGCCTCCAAACTAAAAGCAAGTGTTCACTGTGCTGTACAAGACTTCAAGTTTAACTTGTAACAAGATTTTGGAAGCTGTTCACGTCACAGGAACAAACCCTTCATATCACTGATGTGAGCAACTGTTAAGTTACTTAGGTGTCAAGGATTGCACAAGGACTCCCCTTTTTCTGGGGACACAGGTTAAATTATTCAGAAAGCAATCAGAAAAACACAATAAAATTACTTACTATGTGACTGATTCCCGTTTCAGCCATGTCAAATACCACTGTTAAGGGCTTTCCATGATCTCTCTTGGCATAATGTTCTAACCAAAAAGCTACCAGTTTCTTTTTGTCCAGTTGCTGTTTAGGATCTTTTACATGATGTTTCACTTTGAACCAAACTTGTGAGAAGAAAGAAAAACACAAAGAAAAATTTAAACAACAGATCCAAATTAACAGAAAACATTATGCAAATAACTATACTGGATACAATGAAATTTATTAACACCTCTGAGTTTGTACTCTGCCTTTCTACCGATTTTGTAGCCACTGAACAGCCAGAAAAACAAGTGCATACCTTTCCACACACAGCCTTTTCCTTGCTCACATTTTTATACCAGAACTTTTTAAAAATTGAAAATACAAAGAATTACAGGACAGAAAAAATAGTAGAGTAGAAAAATATTTTTCATGTATTTAAAGACTACTCATATAGACTATAATTTCATAATCTCAAAATAAATTATGCAGTCCTCGTATATGATATTGTGTTCTGCATATATTTTATGTTTCTTTTTCTGCTAAGGTTTTCTATAGCATTGTAGTTTATGTGTTTTGAAAAACTATATACACATTATTAATTATATAAAAAGCAACAGACCTTTCTAAAATAAAAATTAAAAATACAGAAGATGGGGAACATTATATAAATTAAATTCCAGAAGGGTATGTTTTGGGCTAAGAAGTGAGTCATGAAGAGACAAGTTTTTCCACGAAAAGTAGCATAATTCAAAGTAATAGACATTATAAAAATCAAATTACTGATTATACAACGAAGTGATAAAATAAATATTTGAGGCAGAAATGTGAAGAGCAGCCTTCATTTTTGGTACCTCTACAATAGCAAAATTAGACAAGCCTTGAAAATACTTGCAGATATACTTTTAATATTTTTCTCCCCAAAACTTGGAAAGTCTTACTAAAAAAAGAAATATGTTTCCCAAATGTTGACTAACCCATAACTCTTAACTACAATACAATCTCAATTTGCATACCAAGTCAGATATTCTGACTCAAGTAACATCCACAGAAGAATCATTCCAGGTATGGAAAATTGAGACATTAGTTATATTTCAGAGACAATAAAATCAGAAATCATTATTTACCCAACTTACATATTCTTGTCATGAAACAACTGCGTAATTTTCTCAGTCCCAGCACTGATGCAAGGAAGTTATGGTTTTTTTATACTTCCCCCCCTACCCCTGCCAGTATAATCATGCTTAGATTTTTGAATACTATGAACAGGTAACACCTCCACTTATCCTCAAATACTTACCTTGGAGGCCAAAAGAAAATCATGAAGCATAACAAAGCAGCAATTTTTCATATAGCACTGACATCTTAAAATGACGAGAAATGGACAGTTTGACAAAACACAGCCATAGAATCAAAGCTGTATTTTTCTGGTCTTGATTTTTTTTTTTTTTTTTAATAGCATATTGGTGTTTAAAACACAGTAATTTCTGTAAAAGACTGGATTGTTAGTGTATTTCTGGAAGTACAAACTAGCCCTTGTAAAACAAGGAAAAGCATAATTTCAGATTTAATTTTTTTATTTTTTCAAGGTTCAAGATTACTGCTTAGAAAGCTTCATGGGGGATCTGTTTAAGACAGCCTCTTTTGCCTCACAGAATTTAAGCTTAATTAAAAGTAAAGATGTGAGACGTTACAACAGATTCATTTATAGGAAATACTGACTATCTATTACACACAATTAATAAAACCTTGTGAGTATCTCAGGCAGTATTTACTGTTTCCCCACAAATGTTATTCTTTAATTATTAGAAGTTAATCACACAACTTGAGAGCTTATTCTCCAACAATTCTTAACTGTTCCACACTGTTACTGAACATTCCAATGATATCAGGAGAAAAAAAAAAAAAAGAAAATCCCCAAGAAAACCATTAAAGACCTCCTGTGGTATTACACACAATTAATAAAACCTCGTATTTCAGGCAGTCTTTACTGTTTCCCCACAAATCTTATTCATTAATTATTAGAAGTTAATCACACAACTTGAGAGCTTATTCTCCAACAATTCTTAACTGTCCACACTGTTACTGAACATTCCAATGACATCAGGAAAAAAAAAAAAAAAAAAGAAAATCCCCAAGAAAACCATTAAAGACCTCCTGTGAACCACTGCAAGTATGCAAGAACGTGGGCTGCTAGAAAAGCAATGACAATGCACTGCAATAATGAATATTCAACCACTGCAAGTATGCAAGAACAGCAATGACAATGCACTGCAATAATGAATATTTATACTAGTCATATACTCATCACAGTAGATACAGAAACAATGCACTTCAACAGAAAAGTAAAAAACTGCATGATAATTAGGATAAAGGCTTATGACTTTTGAAAACTGCTGATAAAGTTTCCTCATTCCGCTTCTGTGATCCAAAGAGATACCCAAAGTTACCAACTTCTCATTATTTATCAAAGACAGTTGCCAATATAGACCTACTTCTATTTTTAAAATGTTTATTTTTCAAAATAGAAGCTAAAATGCTGGAAACAAAAAAAAAAAAAGATGAATGACTAAAAATATTATATTCTGTGTAACTTACATAATTTATAGCCCTCTTTATCATATCCATGCAGAAAGAGAGAACCAATTTCAAATAACCATTTTGGAAGGACAGCTTCTGTCAAGTCTGCAAAGCCAAATGAAATATTATTTCAGTAATCACATTAATAGCCACATTGTAACTTAACAGAAGTCACTAAAAATGCAGAAGTCTAGCAAGAAAATACAGAAATGTCTTTATAAACCACTTTCCAAGGCCTTTACCAAACTAAAGCAAATACTTAGCACATTTAATACTTTACTATCTTTTTCCTCTCATGCTGTAGACCAGCATCTAGTTAGGAAGAAATAAGAATAAAAAATTGAGGTAAGAAAAAAACACTGCAAATGTTTGGTTTTGCTCATATCTGCAGTCCCTCTTGCTATATCCTTTAATTCAGATTGTGAAGTCATATAGATAAAAGCTCACCTTCAAAACATTCTCACAGGACAAAAACCAGATCTATTATACCTAGGGTGTCAGACCAGCATTACTATGATGAACAACAGAGCCCTGTTTTTTGTGGGGTTTTTTGCCTTCTCCCCCCCACCCCCCCTTTTTTTTTTTTTAAAGGACTCCATTCTAGCAAATGCACAAAGACAAAACAAGAGATAGCTGCTTTTCTTCCTTCCCCTTAAACAACCTTTCAACAGACATAAGGAAGTACAACAAAGCAGTGAGACAGTACTAGTCAACATAAAAAACAATAGTTGTAGTTTTCCAGGTTTGTTTTTGTTTAGTTTTTAATGGAGTAGAAAAGTTCTTGCTCAGCTCTCTGTGGTACTTACAAAACCTTTAAAAAGTGCTTAATAAAACTACATATAGAAGCCAGTTAGATTCAACAGGAAAGCAAAATAAACCATTAAAATAATTATACAAGATAGCTTACCATTAACTGTATATTCTTTCCTCCATTGAAAGCTTTCATCAATCATCTTTAATGTATCATCCACAACATCATGACGCCAAATCAGATAATTTTCAATCCATTTATCATCTTGCTGAAGTCTTTCCACATCTCTAGAATCATATTTATCTGATTTATCTAGCAAATAAATCAACCATTGTAAGAATACAGTATGTGCCACAAAAACATGAAAAGGAGGTTTGTCAAGTTTCAATATAAGCATCTACTAGGTAAGCAGGACTTCCTCTGCAGTCTCAAACTTAAGCAGACAAGGCATAGCATGAGAAATTGATTAAAAATGTCTATCTACTGTGATGATATTTAGGAACACTACAAGATTACGCTCACTAGAAAAATATTTTCTGTGATTCTTATGAAAAGAAAAAACATTAGAAAACAAGGTGCATAGCGCAGGTGTAATTTTTCTAAATCCAGGTTTCTATAACTAACATAAATTAGTGTATAGTCTAAGGATCTGTGTAGTAATGAATGTATATGTTAAGCATCACTACTTCAAGCTTGAATTCTTGAATTTATAGGCATCAGCATGTCAGACCACAAATGTAAGAAAACAGATGTTAAAATGACTATTTTTGACCACACACTATATATCATTGCATTAAACAAAATTGTTTCAAGATCACACATTCTACACTCATTGTAAGTTCTTACCTTACGGAACACAAGTGACGTGCAACTCTAGAGCAATACAGAATCCCCCAAGCCTCAACCTCTTCTTGTATCAAGGTAGCAACAAGATAACAGGTCAACATGCTTTAGGAAGGACCACAGATGAAACAGGAGTTGCTGCTCCTCTTCATTTTTTTCCTTACTTTAAATTTTTTTTAAAGGGTATAAAATACAAATCCTTAAGTGGACCTATTTTTACTGTAGATATGCTTAAACAAAGGCTTAGTTTTTAGAAAAATGCTCCTCTTTGTCTGAGAAATCTGCATAATTGAAATGTAAATCAAGTAAGAGCTCATGGCAGAAACAGGCTTCTGAAAGCAAGAGACACTGATACACATCTCTTTGCTAACTACTAAAAAACCACAAGCTCTTAAACTATTCACTTAAATTTATTTGTGATTAGCATAAAAAAAAGTTAAGATTGGTTGTTAATAAAATAGATGTTAATGTTCACATACTGGGAAGACTATTCCTCAGTCAGCAGCAATAAACTAAAAATAACTACTTTCAGGGCCATCATAATTAAAATAGCCATCTGGAACTGTGACTGGATGGTTTAGGGATGCATAATTCAATCAGGCATCTTAGCTCTGAGGAAAATGTTAGGAGAAATACACTACTGAATTCTACTAATATTTTTAGTTTTACTGGCCTACATGCAAACACATCACCTATTTTATTTGTCCTTCAATTTGTACCATTTCCTGTTACAAATTAGTCAATATAACTGTAAGAATACACCTATTTTAAATGCACCCATCCACTACAAGTTATTACAGTTACACTCTCCCAATGCATCTCTTCACATCCAACTGCTTCTCACATACATTATCTACTCAATTCCTCCTTCATTAGAATTAAAATTTCTCCTTCTCTTGATCTCATCCCACTATCTTATCTTGTTCCATAGACAACCCTACAGTCAAATCCCATTTTCCTTAATTTTAGTCCTCTACTTGCTCCTCTCTGCCCAAAAGCCTCCAATCCACTAAAAACTCTCTCTCACTTTTTCAAGTTCCTTTTCTGGTCATTTCCATACTTGCACCAGACAGTTTCAAAGACTTTAGATATTGAATTTTGTAAAGTCTCAACTACTTGTTTGAAGTTTGATTATTCCCCCAACAATTTACGATTTGGACAGTTTTGCCTGAAAAATGATAACCGTACCTCGTGTCAAGTTAGAATCATAAAAGATTAACATTGGAGCGGATTTCTGCAGCCATCTCAGTCCTACCACCTGCTCACAGCAAGGCTAACTTAAAAGTTCAAACAAGCTGCTAAGTACCTTCTTCAGTCAAGTTTTGAAAACTAAAAAGGGTATAAAGATTCTACAGCTTCTCTTCCTGTAACATGCGTTCCAACCTAAATCCCCTCCAGAGTTACTGTCATGTACAGTGATTAAGCTGGCACATCCACAGTCAGCTAAGGTAAGACCAGCACTGGTTTCTCTCAGTCATTGGAATACCAGCTATTCTATGCTATGGATTATTCAATATGGAATATTGGCTATTCAAGTCATATATAGCTACAGCAAACTAGGGCTTTGAAAGAGTAAAGATTAACTTTAATATCAGTATTACATGTCTCCAGTGTGTGAGCTACCCTGCTTCAATTTGGTTCAATAATCTCTAGCACGTGTTAGCTTCCAGCTAAGAGTCACTGCAGTTAATCAATCAGCCAAGTATTTTTCCAAGATCAGTCCCATGTATATCCTATCTGTATAAGGGATTTGAGTACTGTGTAATTAAAGAGAAAAACAACACACCATCAGGTAAAAACTAAGAGGATAATGTTTCACACTGTTTTCAGAGGCTCTGTTTCCTCTCAGCATCTATTTGAGAGCAGAACTGTCAGAATAACGTATCTTGTATCAAACAATATTTTAAAAACATTCACATATCATCATGTGGAACATGCTTTAGAACACGTTTCTGGGCTGCTAACAAATGTTCCCAAACTCTAAACTTAGATAATATTAAAAAAATAGAAATTTAACTTTATTAATGTTTTAAGAAAATGAAAGTGAAAGAGGAATGGATAAAACATTTTATCCAAACTTTCAACATCAATCAAACACAGAGATAGGGACAGCTAAAAAATAATTTTAAATATTTATCCTCTCTTCAGCACCTAAATTCTCAACAAGATGGCACACATAATCTGAATTTACATACATACTACAACACACACTACAACTGGAAAACTAGTCAAATTCTGTCTCCACAGGCACTTGCAGAATGCCACTATTTCAATCAGATAAGTTTACCAAGACTGACAGAATAACAAGAGTACTGATTACTGTTTTAACCTCACCTGATTTACCCAATTCTTGCTACAAAATAAATAAAATTCTGATGAGACTGTGAACCCAGAAGAAAGGTGTTTTATCTACCTCATAGATACAGATCAGAGTGCTACAAAATTGATGGAATCTTTCCAATAATCCAGTCATTGAAAGTATGTCAATTCAGAGGAGGAATTCCTCTCCAAATTTGTGCATTTCCCATAATTCTGGAAACTGGTTTCCAAATTATGCTGTGAAATAACATGAATGTTTCCAATTTTAAATCACTCACAGAACACTTGGCTACAGTTACTGGATTATTAGAAATTTCTGGAGTTAAAACAGAATTAGTTGAAAGAAAAATAGACTTTTGGCATTCTCAACACATAATTCAAACACATTCAGCACAACAATTAAGAGGGCAAAAAGAACACAGAAGCTCAGCAGCACCTAAATGGAAATTCGGGTGAAACCATAAACTGAAGTATCTCACCTCAATCTCCAAGCCTAGCCACTTAACATATCTGTAAACATACGCTGATGCTTTTCTCACTAGAAAATTAAGTGCCTGTTACTTCACACTTGCAGAACTGACACTAAGATGCTGAGACACAAAGTTTAGTCATCCTCAACTCAAGGAGATGGACATCTCTGCAATTAAGTCCATAACAAGCAGGATTTCACAAGGTATTTGGAACACACCCCACTTGCCCCAAAAGTAACCCAAGGAACAGCATTCACAGTTTTCTCTGTTCAGGAAGAGCTAGTGAAAGCCACATATGTAACAGCAGTGACAGACTTCTATGAAACATTTCATGGTTAAAACAACTGTCCAGAAGCTTGGAAACCTGGTTCCTCCCTTAGGCCCAAGAGATTCAAACCTTACTGCATCCCAGAAAAGTTCCACAGACAGTGGAAGAGGCAAAACTGAGATGCTGCAAGACTCTTCTGGTAAGCTGTATAGAAACTAAGCAAGACTCAGATCCAGAATAGTGAGGGAAAGCATAATCTGCTTTGCAAATTTGATATTTACCGAAGCATTAAACCCAAATTCTAAGTAGGGAGTAACAGCAACAACAGCAAGGAGAAGAGGCCAAAGTTAGCTCTCCATTCTCTCACCTAAAAGGCCTTCAAGAGAATTAAAGAAAGCAAGAAGACTGGCCAGGTCTCAGACAGAACTTTAAAGGTTTTAAAGACCATAATTTTATTTAAACTTTATTTTAAAAATAGCTAGTTAAAGTTACGTCCATTTCCTCACTGAACATTTGGGGTTAAGGGAGAAGACTAGAAGATAAAAAAAGTTCTGTTTGAGCAGTAGCTTCTTCCTATTACTTGCCTTCCTTTTTTCTTGCTTAAGTGAGGAGTTCTGTTCTTTCTATGACCACCTTCTGCCCTTTAAATAGTTGTCTTCAAACTGAGAAACTCACAGTGAAACTCTATGACTTAATTACTATCTTCCAACATAAAAGATCCTGTATAACACAAGACAACAGTTCTAAAAAGAACTCCAGAACCATGCAAAACTAAATTAACACAAAATTCACTGCAGCACTTTCACTGGAAGAATTCCTTAAATTCTTTGATGCACAAATTGTAACACCCCTTCTCTTTGCCCTTTTTTTTTATTTCAGTGCCATCCACTTTACCAGGACACCAAAGCTGCACTGCTGTGTCTTCTTCTAGCATTCAAGATTTACAAAAAGTAATAGAAATTTCATAATATTCAATAAGAATATAGAGGAAAGACTATAGGAGTGAAAAAACAGGCAGCACATCTAAGTCCCACAAGAACTTGATCCAAAGATGAGAATAACTCCTCCCTTCAGGAAGAACCCTTATCTAGAAAAGAAATGCTACAGAACAAGTCATACACAAAACTAAGTAGGTAGAGCAACTACATACCTTTGAATGAGGAAAAAAAACAAACCACTTCATTGTACAAAAAAAATTGGAAAAAAACAACTTAGCAAAGTATGTCAAGTGTTCCATTACACAAAGCCTCTCAATTTAACTACTGCCTTCAGGTATTTCAACCAAGTAGCCTGAGTCTGAAACAGTCATAATTATTCCTCTGACCTTGGCTAAAAAGAGGAAATCCATTTTAATTGGCTGTTGATGCCCAACATGTTAAGCTAAGTACTATAACCATTCAGGCATGTGCCTTCAAT